TGTTCAGCCTGCAGTCAACCAGCACCCCGAGGTCCCTTTCACAAGTGCTGCTCTCCAGCCACTTGTCCCCTAACCTGTACTTATGACACCCTTTCCTGTGCCCCAAGTGCAAGACCTTGCACTTATCCGCATTGAACGCCATCCTGCTGTCTCCTGCCCACTTCCATAGTCTGTCCAGATCCTTTTGGATCTGGAGTAGCTGCTCCTCAGTTGTGGCCACTGCCCCAGTTTTAGTGTCATCTGCGAATTTGATCAGCAGACTGTTCACCCTACTTCCATGTCATTGATGATAAGATTAAACAGGATCGGCCCCAGACAGAGCCCTGGGGGACCCCACTCATCACTGGCTGCCATCCTGATGATTCCCCACTAATAGTTACCTTCTGCTTTCCGTCAGTCAACCATGCCCTAATCCACCGGAAAGTGCTTTGGTCTATCCCAAAGCTCCTCAGTTTCTCCACCGGGATATCATGGGGCACTTTGTCCAAGGCCCTGCTGAAATCCAGGTAACCCACATCCACTGCATCCCCTCCATCCAGTCGTCTCGAAACCTTGTCATGGAATCCCACCAGGTTTGTCTGGCAGGACCTGTCTTTGCGGAAGCCGGGTTGTGTGGCCGCCAGCCTCCCTCCCCTTTCCAGCATCACTAGATCCTTTGATGGCACCGCTGCTGCAGGATATGGAAGAATCAACTCAGGCTGTGATAACCCAGGTTCAGGCTAGATGTCAGGAAAAGCTTCCTCACCGCCCGAGCAATATAGCAGTGCAACCAGCTGCCTGGAGAGGTAGGGGGCTCTCCCACCCTGGAGACATTCAAGGGGAAACCAGACAGCCTCGAGTGGGAGGGTGTAACTTGGTGTCCTGTAACAGCAGGGGGTTGGGCCCCCTGGTCTCCATGGCCCCTTCCAACTCCACTATTCTATGCCTGGGCTGCCGTCAGGGCTGCCCGTGGCCACCCTCGGAGGAGAGCCCGAAAGTGCAGGCAGCTGGGTTGAGCCTCGTGGATGTGCCTCTCTCAGCGGCTGGAGCAGGCCTGCCCTGCATTTGAATGAGCTCAGGTTCCCAGTGCAAAGGCAGCCCGCCCCGAAGCACCTGCAAGGCTGCCGCGGGAGCACTCTCGCCAGCACCCGTTGCTGGGGAAGCACGTCCCGCCCAGCCCCGTGCCCTGCACTGACCTCGGAGGGAGGAGGCGCCCCTGGGCTGCATGCCGGCCCGGGCACCGCCACGCCACGCCACGCCACAGCCTCTGGGCCAGCCACGCTGCTCCCCGCCCCCTCCCCAAGCTGAGACGCGCATTCCAGCAAGGGGGAAAGGCCCACAAGGAGCCACCTCCCTTTCCTCCGTCCCATTTCAGTCTTGGTTCGCGACTCCTGGGGAGCAGCCGCGTTTGGGGAGGCCGCTGTGCACCCCTTGCGCCCGACGGCTCCAGTGGGAGCACCGATGCCGTCGGCAAAAGGCTCCTTGGCCAAGTGCTGTGGCCCCTGGGGGCAAGCGCCCCCACAAGACACCCGTCTGCATCTAAAGGGGGGACAAGGCAAGGGACCTTCTGCCATCCTGCCCCACCCTCAGAGTGCCAGTGGCACCCCCTTGCTTCCCTTCTGCCATGGGGCAGACATTTCTATTTCTATTTGTGCCTGTTTTTAGCATAATTATGGTTTTCCTTGTTTTCCTTCCTGCCGGCTTTTACTTTGCCCTGCACATGGACTCCTGTTAATTAGAGTTTTAAGAGGTTAGGTATTTTTTTTATTTTAGATTTTACTTTGTATGGCGCTGTCTCTGTGAGCTGCCCAGAGCCCTTGGGCTGTGGGGGTGGCATACAAATGTCACCAATGAAACACAGAAACAGAGCGAGTCAGAAGGGGTCTCCTGGGCCATCTAGTCTGACCCCCAGCTCCAGCCAGCTCAGTTCACAACATGCCCACCATGTGCATGTCCAGCCTAACTTTGAACACCCTCACCGATGGGGCCCCAACGACCTCCTGTGAAAGCCCATTCCACACCCTCGGGGTCCTAATTGTCAGGAAATGCTTCCTGGCATCCAAATTGAAGCTTGGTTCCGAGCTTGGCTCCATTGGAGCACATCCTGCCTTCCTCTGCAGGGGAGAACAGGTCTCTACCCACCTCCGTGTGACACCCCCTCACATACCTGTATGTCGCCAACATATCCCCTCTGAGTCTCTTCTCCAGGCTGAAGAGGCCCAGTTCCCTCAGTCTCGCCTCATATGGCATCCCCTGCAAACCGGCCACCAACCTTGTGGCCCTACGCTGCACTGACTCCAACCTGGCTATATCCTTCCTGTTACGAGGGGCCCAGAACTGAGCACAAGACTCCAGTTGTGGGCGCACCAGAGTCGTGTAGAGTGGCGGCAATACCTCTCTGGATCTGGAAGCCACACTTCTGGCTATGCAACCAAGGGTAGCGTTCGCCCTCTTGACCACTGCATCACACGGCTGACTCACGTTTAGCCTGCAGTCGACCAGCACCCCGAGGTCCCTTTCACAAGTGCTGCTCTCCAGCCACTTGTCCCCTGACCTGCACTTATGACACCCTTTCCTGTGCCCCAAGCGCAAGACCTTGCCCTTATCCACACTGAATGAGCGAGCGAGCGAGCGAGCGGGGCCTGGCCTAGGTGGCCTCTGCGGCCTCCCGGGGGCCCTGCCAGCTCCAGGGCCACAGAGCGTGCAACAAACCGACAACCGCCGTTGTCCTTCTGCCCCTCCCCTCAGCAAGCCAACTGGAAAGAAATCGTTAACAAGAAGCTGAAGTTCCCGGAGGGGCTGCTGGGCGCCATCCAGGACGGCCACCTGGGGAAGGTGCAGCAGCTGCTGCAGGTGAGCGACGGGATCCTGCGGCAGCTGGACGAGGCCGAGGACCGGGCGTGGCGAGAGGCGCTGAACATGGCCATCCGCACGGGCGGCGAGGAGATGAGCAAGACGCTGCTGCGCTTCGTCAAGTTCGACTTCCGGCAGGTGCACGAGGCCCTGCTGGTCGCCGTGGACACGAACCAGCCCAGCGTCGTCAAGCTGCTGCTGGACCGGCTGGACCAGGAGAAGGGCCTCAAGATGGACATCAAGTCCTTCTCGCTGGCCTTCTTCGACAACTCCATCGACAACTCGCGCTTCGCCCCCGGCGTGACGCCCCTCACCCTGGCGTGCGAGAAGGACCTCTACGAGATCGTGGACATGCTGATGAAGAAGGGGCACGCCATCTCGCGGCCCCACAAGGTCTCGTGCGCCTGCCTGGAGTGCTCCAACGGCCGCAAGTTCGACCTGCTCAAGTTCTCGCTCTCTCGCATCAACACGTACAAAGGCATCGCCAGCCGGGCCCACCTCTCCATCGCCAGCGAGGATGCCATGCTGACCGCCTTCAAGCTCAGCCGCGAGCTCAAGCGCCTCTCCAAGAAGGAGCCCGAATTTAAGGTCTGTCCCTGCCCCGCCCCGGCGTGGCTCCCTTTCCGGTCCCGCGGCCTTTGCCAGACGTACCTTGGGCGCCTCGGAGCCGCCCGCTACGTCGGCCGGTTTGTGTGCCTCACAAACACGGGCACCTGGCAGTTCCCAGGGCATGCGGTCCGCTCTTGCAAAAAAGACACCAAAACCAAGATCAGTTTGGGTAAGAAGCGTGACTCTGAGGCTTCCCTTCCCTTCCCTTCTATTTTATACTTCACGAAGCCTAAGAAAGGGACTTCAGGCCAAGATTTTGACAAATACAACCACTCAGTACCTGTTGCTAAATCTAGAAAAGTTAATTTTTCGGATGATCCCACTCTGAGGCTGATTCCTCTATGAACATGAACCTTATTCTGACCTGCAAATTCTGTCTAGACTTCACTTGCTTAGATTGATAATAAAGGAGCGAATTATGAAGTCTTGCAATTAAGCATGTACAAGAATTTCATTTTGGCTCATTACGCATCAACAGCATCAACACTTACCTGGCCACAATCCCAAATTTCCTTGGGCAAATTTTGCCCATTCCTGCCGGGCAAAGCAACTCTACTTTGAGGGCGATGCTTGAAAGCGATGCTCACGTCATGCTTTTAATCAGTGGGAGGGCCACATCCGTGTGGGTGCACATGCTCAAGGCGCGCATGCCTTCCCTGTTACAGCAACAGGAGAAATCGCTTCCCTTTGGGAGGGGGGACCTCTGCTGCGACCCGGACGGGGTGGCGAGCCTGCGCGGGCGAGGGCTGAGGAAGGGCGGGGGCAGAGGGCTCTGCCCCGAGGAGAGGCGGGGACTTGGGTGCTTTTCCAGGGGAGGGCCCCCCTCACGCCGGCCGGCTCCTCTGCTGTCCACCAGCCGGACTACCTGGCCCTGGAGCAGCTGTGCCAGGAGTTCGCCTTCGAGCTGCTGGGCATGTGCCGCAACCAGAGCGAGGTGACGGCCGTGCTGAACGACGTGGGCGACGACGCGATGGACGAGGACGAGGAGGACGTGGACGACCAGGCCTTCGAGGAGGGCATCCCCAACCTGGCGCGGCTCCGCCTGGCCGTCAACTACAACCAGAAGCAGGTGAGCCGGGGCGGGGCGGGGCTGGGGGGGGGGCCTTACACGCCGGACGGGGCGTCCATCTGGGCAGGTGGGGCAGGCAGGGCAGGGCAGGGCAGGCGGGGCTGGGGGATGGCCTTACACGCCGGATGAGGCACCGCTCTGGGCCATCCAGAGGCGGTGCCCGCGTGCCACCCGGGGCCCTCTGACCCACCCCTGCTGGAGGGCCCGGGTGGCCCTGGCCCGCCCGGCTCAGCCGCTGCCCCCTGTCGCCGCAGTTCGTGGCGCACCCCATCTGCCAGCAGGTGCTCTCGTCCATCTGGTGCGGGAGCCTGCAGAGCTGGCGGGGCAGCACCAGCCTCTGGAAGGTCTTCATCTCCTGCGCCATCTTCCTGGCCATGCCCTTCCTCTGCCTGATCTACTGGTTTGCCCCCAAGTCCAAGGTGAGGGGCGCACTCCGAGGCCCATCGCTCATCGCCTGGAAGGGGCCGGGTGGGCCGGGCCGCCCGGAGGAGTTCCACGGGGTTGCCAAGCCGGGCACATGCCCAGGCCTGCTCTCCACCTCCCACGGTGCCCCTCCTGAACTGGGCCATGGACAGGCCGGCTCCGGTTGCCCCCGGGCGCTGTGGCCCACCCCTACCGCGTGGCCATGCCTCTGTGCCCACGCCACACAAACGCGGCCCCCTGGGCACGTTGGCGCCCTCTCAGAGTCCTTCCTCCTGACTCTGGCGGCGTGGAGATCACGTGGCGTAGGAGAGCAAGTCGGAGCGGCGCTCTGATGCTGGGGGAACATGCCAGGTTCCTCGGTGGGGCTGAGGGCTGGAGGCGCCACGTCCCAGGCGGAATTCCTTGCCCGTTTTCCAAGGGGAATGCGGCGTTCCGCCCGCTCACCCGCCATGCGCCCCTTCCTGGCAGGTGGGCAAAATACTGAAGATCCCGGTGATCAAGTTCCTGCTGCACTCGGCCTCGTACCTCTGGTTCTTGGTGTTCCTGCTGGTGGAGTCGCTGGTCCTGGAGCACCACCAGGAGGCCTTCAAGGGGCGCAACCAGACCATGTGGGAGACCTCGCTCCACATGATCTGGGTGGCAGGTGGGTGGTGGGGAGGCCCTCCTGGCCGTGGAGGGAGGAGCCCACCCTGCTTCACGTCCCTGAAGGGCTGCTGCCTGGGGGAGGGCAGGGGCGCTCCTTGGGCATCCGGGGTGCAGGCACGGAATGACAGGCACCAGGTCCAGGAGGCCGGCTTCCGGCCGGATGCTGGGAAGAACTTCCTGCCTTACAGCGATGCCACAGGGGGCCCGTTTAGGCAGGCGGTGGGCTCTTCCTGAGGGGGCAGCTGGGCAGCCCTCTGAGGGAGACGGTTTGACGGGGGTCATGCGCTGAGCAGGGGCGGACCTGATGGCCTTCGTGGCCCCTTCCAACTCTGCTGTGCCGTGACTGTGCAGGAGAGAGCTGCAGCGATGAGGACAGCCGGGCGCTGGGTGGCCCAAGGCGGGGGGGGGGGGGGGGGGGGCTTGGGGGGCGCCCCGGGGGGGGCCCCCTTGGCCCGGGGGGGAGCGTGGCCTGCCACCCGGGGGGGGCCGTGGGGGAAGAGTCCCACGGGGCCGCGCCGGGACCCGGGAAGCGGCCCTGGGCTCTCCGCCCCGGCTCGCCTCCGCAGGGTTCTTCTGGTTCGAGTGCAAGGAGGTCTGGATCGAGGGCCTGCGCAGCTACCTGCTGGACTGGTGGAACTTCCTGGACATCGTGATCCTCAGCATGTACCTGGCCTCCTTCGTGCTGCGCGTGCTCATCTTCATCAAGGGCACCAGCTGCTTGGAGAGCGGCTCCTCCTCGCTCGAGTGCCACTACTACACCCAGGCCGGTGAGCCCCCCCCGCCCCCCGGAGCCGGCGCCCAGCTCTGTGGGCACGCCTGCCCGGGCGCCCCCGCAGGAGGGAGAGCCGAGGTCCCCACGCCTGCTCGCATCGCCTCTGCCCACGCACCCCTGCCTCCTGTCCCCACCCCCACGGAACTGGAAATCCACGCCTTTTCCATCCCGAATGTGTGAAATTTGGCCGAAATGGACCGAGAGCTGGCTTCCACTCCAGCCGCGTCCTCCCGCGGAGGAAGTGCAACGAGCTGGGCTCCCACACTCAATGAGGAAATGCTTCCCGGGGGGCGGGGGGGCAGCCGCACCCCGTGGCGCCCCGGAGGGCTCCCCGCATGAGGCAGTGGGAGCTGCTCGCCTCCAGAACAGCCCTGGGCGCCTCGGGGGCCCCGTCCTCACCCCCCTCCTCCCACTCAGAGCGGGACGAGTGGCGCACGGAGGACCCCCAGTTCATGGCCGAGGTGCTCTTCGCGGTGACCAGCATGCTGAGCTTCACCCGCCTGGCCTACATCTTGCCGGCCCACGAGACTCTGGGCACGCTGCAGATCTCCATCGGCAAGATGATCGACGACATGATCCGGTAGGGCGCCTGGCCCTCCGCCCGCCGGCGGGCCCAGCCACGCTGCCCCCATCCCGCAAAACGGAGCTCGCTGCCCGTCCTAGCCAGAGGGGCTGGCCCTCGCCCCACAGCAGGTGGGGGCCAGCAGGCAGGCGGGCAGCACCGGTGGGTGCAGAATAGAGCCCGGGGGTGGACAGGGGAGCTCTCTGCAAGCAAGCAAGCATGCTCGCATCCAGGACCGGGGGCTTTGCACCAGGACGGATGGACAGAGCGCCCCATCCTGCCCACTCCTCGCCCAGCATCCCTCCTCCCCCAGCTTAACTCTGTCCGGAGGAGGCCTGTGCTGAGGCTGCGGGCCAGGGAAGCAGAGACCCTGGGGGCCTCCCAGAGGGGCCGCTCCGGACCGACCGCCTGCGGCTCCTCTGGCCTTCTCTGTGCCGCCCCACGGCCACAGCTCCCTGGCCCGGGTGTCCGGCAGGCCCCCTGGGGTCGGGGAGGTGGCCGCCTGGGTCCGCTGGCCTGGGGGGTGCCAAGCGAGTGCCTGTCGCTGCTTTCCTGCCCCCAGGTTCATGTTCATCATGATGATCATCCTGACGGCCTTCCTGTGTGGGATGAACAACATCTATGTGTACTACCAGGACTCCGAGCGGCTGGGCAGGTGAGGCGGCCCCCCCGCAGCGGCGGCGGCAGGGCGAGCGGGGCGCCGGGCGCAGCGTCTGCCTGGGCCAGCCGGGGAGGTCCGGGCGCCAGTGGCCGAGGCGGGGCCTGGCTGCAGCCCAGGCCTGTGGTGCCCGCAGCGCTCCCAGGTCCACCTGCCGCGAAACAGCTGAGAGCGGCCAGGCGGGATGTCTCCCGGCCCCCCCTCGTGCCCACGCCGTGCAGCCTGCCCCCTGACGTGCCCCAGACTCCTCCCGGTGGAGGTCAGCCTGGCTGGCCTGCAGTGCCAGGGGCTCCCCCCGCCCCCAGCGCCCTGGCACTGCCCCCCAGCGCGGCTCTTCCCGGTCCTGCAATCCCAGCACTGCGTGGAGGCCTCGCCAGTCCAGGCAAGGTCCCCGAGGGGCAGGAGAGGGGCTTTGTGGGGAAGGCTGGCCCCAGCCCCAACCCCCCTTCTGGCCCCCCCCCCCCCCCGGCAGCTTCAACGAGACGTTCCAGTTCCTCTTCTGGACCATGCTCGGGATGGAGGAGCACAATGTGGTGGACATGCCCAAGTTCTTCCTGGCCGAGCTGATGGGCCGCGTGCTCTACGGGGTCTTCACCATCGTCATGGTGGTCGTCCTGCTGAACATGCTCATCGCCATGATCACCAACTCCTTCCAGAAAATAGAGGTGAGCGCTTCTGGGGGCCCGTAAGGTGGCCAGGGGCCCCGTGCCTCCCCTGCTCCGGCGCCCCAGGTGCCGCGACTCGACCGCATGGACGGGAGCGTGCGCTCAGAGGAGATGCAGCCACCTGCAGCATCACGGCATAGCCAAGCCGGAGGGGTGGGGGGCCCTGGGGCCCAGCCCCTGCTCCGGGCAGGACCCCCGGTTCAAGCGTGCCTCCCAGAGGCTGCGCAGTCGCACCCCGAATGCCTCCGGGGTGGGAGGGAAGCACCGCCGCCTCCCGAGTCGGGGTTCCTCGGTTGCACGCCTCTCACCGTCAGGGAAGTTCGCCTGGTGTCCAGCTGGAAGTGGGCTTCCTGTAGCTGAGCCCCCTGCTCCGTGTCCCGCACTGGGATGACTGAGGAAGGATCCTGGCCCTCCTCACGCGACAGCCGCTTGAGGACTGGCAGAGGGCTATCACACCATCACTAGCCCACCCGCCCCTGGAGGAGCACCGTGGCACATGCCCACCAGGAGTGCCCCCACAGGCTCCTGGCTAGACTTCCCGGGGCATCCCGGCGTGGGGACGGGTCCCCCAGGCCCTGCCAGACTCGGGACTGGGAGATGCTGCCACCGCCGCGGCTGAGAACCGCGAGGAACGGATGGGCCCCCCGGGACCTGACCGCTCTTGTCCCCGCTCCTCCCATGCGATCCCTGCAGAACGATGCCGACGTGGAGTGGAAATTTGCACGCTCGAAGCTCTACCTGTCTTTCTTCAGGGAAGGCCTGACACTCCCAGTCCCCTTCAACATAATCCCAACTCCAAAGTCCATCTTCTATGCCATCAGGTGAGTTGGCTGCAGTGCGCCCGAAGACCCCCCCCCAGCCTCGGGGGCCCATGGCTCACGCGAGCAGCCTGGCGTTCCTGCAGGCCGGTCCCTCGGCAGCTGTGAGCTCCACGTAGATCAGCCTGCGATTTGTCCCCAGCCTGGCATGATGGGAGCTGTAGTCCAATCTATCTGGAGAGCCCCAGGCTGGGAAGGCTGGCCAGGCTGCTGGCTGTCCTTGGCAGCAGGTTCCCATGTGCGGCGCAGGCGAGCAGAGGGGCGTGTGGGGGACAGCGGCCGTGGTGCCGAGGGTGGCACGCCCTGGGCCGCCTGGGACCCGGCCCTCTGGGGAGGCCCCTTCTCCGCAGCGCAACTGCTCTTTCCTTCGCACCCACAGGGGCCTCCTCCGCTTCATGTGCTGCTACAAGCCCAAGCGGCAGCAGAAGTATCCCCCGCTCCCCACCATCGTAAGTTCGCAGGGGCCTTTCCGACGGCTTGCCGTCCACTCCGAGGGCCGGGCGGGCCATGCGCCGCCTTTCCCATGGCCGGGCAGGGGTGGGCTGTGCGGTGGGGGGCTGCCCCTTCCGCTGCGGTTGGTTTGGGGTGATGCGGGGGGGGGGCTGTCAGCGGGTCCTTGCTTCGGCTGCTCCAAACTGCACGCTTTGAGGCTGCGACACGACACCTCCATCCCAGACGAGGGCGCGAGGGAGCAGCCCTGCCCCCGGCCCCGCGCGTTCACGGCGGCCGCTCGGCCTCCCGGCGCAAGGTCCGCGCACACGGGCCGCGGGCGCCTCGGGCAGTGCCTCCGGCATGCGCGGCGCCGCGTGGGCCTTTGCTCCGCGCTGCCCGCTCTCGCCCGCGGCAAACGGCCGCTGTGTGGCCCCGCGTCCGAGGCCTCCCGGCAGGCGATGCAGCCATCGCCCGGGCCACTCCGCCTCCGGAGCAGCGGCCGCTGAGAGGAGGGCGATGCTGCCCACGGGCTGCCCACGCAGCAGGCGCGGGCGGAGAGCGGGGCGGGGGCGCTCGGCCGGCCGCGCGTGCAGCCCCAGCCCAGGCGAAGCGGCGGCAGGGACGCCGGAGCGCGTGCAGAGCGCCGCCTCAGCCCGCTCCCTCCCCGCGCAGTCCAACCCGTCGGTGGAGGAGGGCGGCCTGCGCGCCGACAGCCGCGTCGCCTACCGCCGCCAGGTGCTCAAGGCGCTGGTGCAGCGCTACATCGACACGGCCCGGCGCGAGTTCGAGGAGAGCCGGCGCAAAGGTGAGC